CTCTTGTGGGCATTTTCTGAATTTCTGTGATTTTTCTCATCTCAGCTTTTGGCTCTGTCAGAAATCACCACATTATCAAAAACCTCACCTTCACAGAGCAAAGGCACAACTGAATCTGAGTGGTTCAGGTTTGACTGCTGCTGTTTTAGTGCCCTTTCTGGGGCATTAATATTGGAAAGGGACATTTTCAGCTTATTTAAAAGCAAACAACAAGGGGAAGGAACCTGTTAAATAAGGCCCTTATCTTGCACGGTTCCTCTGGAGCCCTGCTGCGACCACAGCTGGCGTTTGCAGGCTGAGAGCAGGGAGACTTCTTTCCTCAAAGCTTTTAATTGAATCTGCTGCTTCATCTGGCAAATCTGAACACTTGAAAACACTCTGGGTTGCAGCAAGAATTTCTCCTGATATTACAGTGCGAAGGACACCATAACATTTGTCCATGGGCTAAATTATCATGTGCGGGTGCTTGCCAGGGCTTATGCATCTCTTGCCGCAGCGCGGTCGGCAGCAGGGCATCCTCAACCATGATTCCAGTAGATTGGTGAATAGAAATAGTGGAGCTGAAAGACTGTTTTTACACGATCCCATTGAATCCTAGTGACCCCGACAAACTTGCTCTTTCCGTACCAAGCTAAGTGCAGCGGAGGGCACCAGCGGTATCAGTGGGCAGTGCTGCCACAGGGCATGAAGAACAGTCCCACTCTGCGTCGGTGGTTCATGGCAAAGGCATTGAGCCCTGTGCGGCTACGGCACAAGGATGTGATTATTTATCACCATACGGTGACGTTCCGATCGCCTGCAGCGCGGCTATGGAGCTGGAGGCTGCCGTGAACACCCTGATGAAGGAGGCGACTCGAGCGGGCCTCGTGGCTGCTCCTGAAGAGGTTCAGGATGCAGCACCATGGCGATAGCTGGGGTGGATGATTACCAAGTGAGAAGGCTGGCCTCAGGAATTGCACAAATTTCAAGAAATCAGAAATCTCAATGTCCTGCAAGAGCAGCTTGGGGCCATCAATTGGGTCCGCCCTTGGCTCTGCCTTCTGGCCCCAAACCTTAAGCCCCTGCTCCTTCAGGGCTCCCACAGAGCGTAACCTTGGTAAGAAAAGAAGGTTCAAAAATCCTTCTCTACAGCCTGGTAGAGAACCTGTGCACAATAGAGGGTGACACCCTAATTCCAGGCTTTTCATTACAGGAAAATATCTGAGGAGAAATTCATTTTGGTTAATTTCTGTGCAGCCCCTTCTGCTGCAGAAACCATTTTCATTACTTTTGCTGTCAGCAGAACTTATGGCTGAGGTGACAACGCTGGATGTCAACCTTTTGTGCTGCTTTGCTGTCTCCACACAAAAGAAAAATAATTAATGTTACAACACACTTCCTTGACATCTTTCTGGTTTCAAAAAAGCTTCTTGTAAGCTCTGGCTGAAACAGCCTGAGGTGCTTTAGATAATTAATTTTTTCTGCTGTTAAATACCCTGATATTTTGTTTGACTTTCCGCAGACCCCACGTAAAGGGCCACCCAAATCCACTCCTGAAGCCACTCGCTAAACCAGGGCATGTAAGTAGCAAAGTCTTTTGAGTCTGGTTTCCATCTCATGCGTGGGGCAAGTCCATGCAGAACAGGGTAGACAAATGGCCGGCAGGTTGCTAAGGAGCTGTGCAAGAACACAGATTGTTTCACAGAGGACTGTGGCCTGGGGGACTTCCCTGCGCCGGTGAGCGCTGCTGGGGTGTTGTGGCACCGCTGTGTTGGCACTTGCTGTGTCACCCCCGGGCTGGGGCAGGGGGGAGCTGTCACGGGGTGGCCACGTCGGGGTCTCTTCCCCGTTTTGCTGCTTTCGTGGCTGGATTTGGCTCTGTCTGTCCAGGTGGCCAGGAGCAAGGAGGACGTCGTGGAGAGGGGCGCGCGTGCGGAGGAGCAGCCTGGTGTCCGAAGCGCCCGTCGCGCCGGCCTCGGCCCTCGGCAGGGCTCCTCCGAGCCGCCCCCGGGCGCCGCCGCCTCGGA